TTTCTCGTGAGAAGCGTCCTGGCTTCCAACATCACAAAAAGGCTGGTGCCATGAATGCACTGGTAAGTTGTTAAATATCGGAACAGTTTATCCCCCCAAACCAACAATCTTGACTTAAATGGGGCATCTTTATCATATACAATGATTGTGCAGGTACGGGTGTCAGCGGTTCTTACTAATGGACCCTTTATGTTGAATCTTGATTGTGATCATTACATAAACAACAGCAAGGCTTTGAGAGAAGCAATGTGCTTTTTGATGGATCCTAACCTTGGAAAATATGTCTGCTATGTACAATTCCCTCAGAGATTCGATGGTATTGATAGGAACGATCGATATGCCAACAGGAATACTGTTTTTTTCGATGTAAGTTTGAACTTCAGTAACAGTGATCGACTTATACTCGGTCAGAAGCTAGAATAGTGTTTTATGCAGTTCATGCGCTTTTAAGAGATTATTTCATGTGGATCTTGGTGTGAAATCTTTCTTTTGTTGTTGAACCAGATTAACTTGAGAGGTTTGGACGGAATTCAAGGCCCAGTGTATGTGGGAACTGGATGTGTCTTTAATAGAACAGCTTTATATGGGTATGAACCTCCAATTAAGCCAAAGCATAAGAAAGCAGGGTTCCTCTCTTCCTGCTTCGGTGGATCAAGAAAGAAGGGTTCTAAATCAAGTAAAAATGGCTCAGACAAGAAGAAATCTAGTAAGAATGTTGATCCCACTGTGCCAATATTCAGTCTGGAGGATATAGAGGAGGGAGTTGAAGGTATAGTTCAAATTACTAAATCTTTTCACTTCATGTTATCTTTGTCTGAGCACTTCACCAATCCCAGAATGACTACTCCGATGCTTATCTTACCACACCTTACTCAGCAACTCCTTTTAGTGAGTTAATTGGCAAAGCTGTCACATCAGGAAAAAAAAGGAAAAACTGCAAGTTGCCAATGTTCCATGGATTTCAATATCGATACATTTCAACATCAGTAGACATCACTTCCTTTTTTATCATTTAGACTTGTCTACCTTGTAGTTCATTGCTTTGGATTACCTCAAATATTTTTCATGAAATTACTTCTGAACCGGAAAATAGAAGATAACCCGTACCTTTAGTGAGTAGGACTTGTAGAGTACCTGTAACACACCACGTAATGGTTGTTCAACAATGAGAATTCTGTCTTATATTCTTTTGCTTTCTTAAGAGTGAACCGTGCGTGTTCTCCTGCCTTCTGGTAGGTTTGCCATCGTCCAATAATGGAAGTAAAAATATTGAACTTGTAGAGCTGTCACATATAGACAGCAATGTCATTTCTAAGTCTGGATTGTGTTGAACCTGCCCTTGCAAACAGAAATATAGCTATACTTGGAAGTTTTACCCGAACCTTTTAAAAATTTACCTAAGTTCAGACTTTAGACACGTTGAAAAGAGGAGATGCGCATGGAACTTCTTTATCCTGTTGACTAGCTTGTAGAATATCAAGTAACCAATTGTGCTCCAATCCATATTGTTGCGATAGGAATTCTCCCCATTACCTCACTTTATTTATTAGCTTGTTGAATATGGTTCTGTAAAATTTGTTACTGCTGAGTGACGCACAAAACTGCAAAATGTATTCTATTTCTAAGTTAGCGTACACTTATGTGCCTTCTGTTGCTTGCCCTCACTACTTTTTCTGACCCGTTTCAATTTGTTTGTCTGGTTTTGACTTGGGACGGAGTTTAATAAAAAAAAGGAAGATTTTTAATTCTTATGGTCTTAAACTAAAGATAGGTGAATTGTACCAAAATACCCTTTAATCTTGTGGTCTTAAACATGTTATGTGGAAATTAGAATTAAAGAGTTGCCAAAAAAAGGAAGGAGACATTCTTTTGTAATGACTAAAAAAGAAGTTAAGGCTAACACATTGAAACAAGGGAGTATTTATTAAGGAAACAGAAAAAAACACAAGCTGTAGGCATGAGTTTTATATGTTGGGTTTTATTGCTTCTTGATTAGCATGGTAAAGTTATAAGCAAGGAACACAACTCATCCCAGGCATATACACTAATTTTATCAAGTTTGAGAATTGAAGTACACCTTTGTCCTCTTTATGCTTCTTGTGCACTCATTCTTTACAGGATTATCCTATTTTTTTATGCTTGAAGTCCCATGGTGGTTCAATATTTTCTTGAAGTTTTTCCAACTTCTCACCGACTGTTTGTCCTCTCTCTTTCAATCAGGTGCTGGATTTGATGATGAGAAGTCACTTCTCATGTCACAAATGAGCCTGGAGAAGAGATTTGGGCAATCAGCTGTTTTTGTTGCTTCAACACTCATGGAGAATGGCGGTGTTCCTCAATCGGCTACACCGGAGACCCTTTTGAAAGAGGCTATTCATGTTATCAGTTGTGGTTATGAAGATAAATCAGAATGGGGAACTGAGGTAATGCTGTGTTTTAGATTCCAGCCCCACCAGAGTCTAGGATAGGTAGGGAAGAGCCTGTAAGTGATGTGAATTAAGTTGACCATTTAAAAAGTTCTAGGATGAGTAGGGAATTGTAGATGGACAATCATTGCCACGGAACTGTATTAACTAAATTTTAGGTGACTTGTTACTTAGTATTTGACGTTCTGACAGAAAAAATAAACCAAAAAGAGATCCAGTGTCTAGTATTATACCAAAAATAATATTCTATATTCTTAGATCTGGAGAAAGGAAAATGAGAGTTGCAGCATATACCCTTTAAAGAAAATGTCGAGCTACTTCCACATCACTAAATAGATGCATCGGTTTTTGGTACATTATTAACACGAGAATTTCTTTGTGGTACTACCTATTGTAGACTCTAACTGGACCATGATTGTTGTTACTGTTGTGTGTTTGAATACTTAAATTTCGTTGTGTATGTGCAGATTGGATGGATCTATGGTTCTGTCACAGAGGATATTCTCACTGGATTTAAGATGCATGCCCGTGGTTGGCGATCTATATACTGTATGCCCAAGAGACCCGCCTTCAAAGGGTCAGCTCCTATTAATCTTTCAGATCGTCTGAACCAAGTGCTTCGATGGGCTTTAGGGTCAGTGGAAATTCTTTTCAGTAGGCATTGTCCTATATGGTATGGATACAATGGACGGTTGAAGTGGTTGGAGAGATTCGCTTATGTCAACACCACTATTTATCCAATCACTGCCATTCCACTTCTTATATACTGCATGCTTCCAGCTATCTGTCTACTTACTGGGAAATTTATTATCCCTCAGGTTAGCTTTGGACCTCTAAATTCTTGTCAACTTGTTTGCATGCTTGTCATATCTTGGCTTCTTTTGCATATCCAAGGTTATTTAATACTACTACTGTTTTATGTGACACTTTTTTCCCTCTCTTAAGAAAAAAATGACACTTCTCTTGATCTAGAGACAATTATACTTTTAACTTTTCATTTTACCATTAATGACGCGATTCTATAGCCACGGAAATGTTATGGCATGTTTAAAACCACAAGTTCCAAAAGTCAAGTCTTCCTTTCTTAAGCTATGGGCCCAGTCAAACACTTACACTTAGTCTTATATGATAGAAAGTAAACACGTTCATATAAAATGAAGCAGAGTATTGTATTTGCTACACCTATGATCCCCCCCCCCCCCCCCCCCCCAATTTAATTTGAGTTCTTCAAGTAACCGTCAGTTGGCCTTAAACTGCACGTAGTTACTAAACTTGGCCTTACATAGAACATACTTTCTTAAGTTGCTTTATCATAGATTTACCAATATATCATTTCACAGGATTTATGATATGTTTATTTTTCTTTTGCAGATTAGTAACCTTGCTAGCATCTGGTTTATATCCCTCTTTCTTTCCATTTTCGCTACTGGTATTCTGGAGATGAGATGGAGTGGTGTTGGAATTGATGAATGGTGGAGAAATGAACAGTTTTGGGTCATTGGTGGTGTGTCAGCTCACCTGTTTGCCGTCTTCCAAGGGTTGCTCAAAGTGCTTGCTGGTATTGATACCAACTTTACTGTCACATCCAAGGCATCTGATGAAGATGGGGACTTTGCGGAACTCTACATGTTCAAATGGACTACTCTTCTTATACCCCCCACTACTCTCCTCATTGTAAACCTGGTAGGAGTTGTGGCCGGCATCTCATATGCCGTCAACAGTGGTTACCAATCATGGGGTCCCCTCTTTGGTAAATTATTCTTTGCTTTCTGGGTGATCGTTCACCTTTACCCCTTCCTCAAAGGTCTCATGGGTCGTCAGAACCGGACACCTACTATCGTGGTCGTGTGGTCTATTCTTCTGGCCTCCATTTTCTCTTTGTTATGGGTGCGTATTGATCCCTTCACAACAAGAGTTACTGGACCAGATGTTCAGGCTTGTGGTATCAATTGCTAGGAAGGAACTCTCAAGTTTTGCATGCAAAGCAAATAATAGCGTGAAGGTCATCCATGTGATGTTATCAACCATGCAAAATGAGTTGAAGATATCCTGTAGCTGTGTAAACTGTCATGTTTTTCATCCAAACTTGGGTGTGTGCTTGTTGTTTGTCCATGTGAAGTTTAGTTTATTTTGTGCAGAATGTAGCCATGTAAAAGCTCTTAAGATCAAACAAGAGACACCAAATCAAAATTTGCTCCCTGTTCTAGGTTTTATCCCCAGATAGAAACTCTGCTTGATGTATACAAATTTCATATTTTGCCCCAGTGAGATGGATGCAATGTTGTAACTTATAAGTACCCTTAATGTTCTAGTGTATTTTATTTATTCATTCAAAATTTTGTGTTGCAACATGAGGACCACAGAGGTTATTTATATGACAAAAGTAGTTTGTTGTCCTTGTTCATTTTCCTTTTTGAATTCTCTTTCACTTCTGAGTATCTTACATTCTCTTTCACTTCTGAGTATCTTATTTTAACTTTGAAAGCGATTTCTCTTTATCTCGTGAAATAAGAGTGATGCTAGGAGTGGAATATGGTAAAAGATTAAATTCAGATCCATCACTGTTTTAAGGGCATTTTGGCACAAAAGGTTGTCAATTGTCCCAGGCCCCAGCATTTATCTATGCTACAATTTTTGACCTACTAGCTAATAATTGTAGCATTGAAGGGCTCTCCATTTTCTCTTTGGCAATTCATTTTTTTTTTAAGGTAAAAGAGGTTTCTTGTTCTTCAACTGGCCAGTGAGACTAATTGATGGCTTATGCTTCTGTTGTTTCTCTTGCTCAAACTCTAGGGCAACTCAATACCAGAATCCCAGGTTTGTTTTCTGACCCAAAAATTCAATCTTTAGCTGCATCTCTTGATTATTTCAAAGCCTTTCTTGATGATAGTAGCAACAGTAGTTATTATCACCAAGAAAATATCAAAGATTTGGTTGGAAAGTTTAGAGATGCTCTCAATGAAGCTGAGAATATTATTGAACTAAAGATTTGTGAGATTCATCAAAGAGGAAATGAAGATTTAGTACCAGTAGTACAGAAGATTGAGTTACTAAGGGAAGAGTTGGTGCTTAGTCTTGAGACCTGCACAAGCCATGACCATGACACTGAACCTGGTGAAGATCATTTCGAAACGAGGGTTGGTAGTCCATCTAAGCCTAGTTTTAATGCTAATTTGGAGAATGATGTTGTTGGTCTTGATGATGATTTGGAGAAGGTTATAGAAAGGCTACTTGGGTACTCCTCCGAGAGAGAAGTCGTTGCAATTACAGGTAGGGTTAATTTGACGTATGATCATTAAACTTTACCTATTACCTATTAAAGTACATTACGGATAGATTTTTTTGATATAGGAGACTGAATCAAAGTTGGTGACTTTATTATTATAGTGAATAAATGTAGCAAATTTACTGTTATAGTGAGTAAATTAAAGTTCAATTATATATTTTAATGCAGCAAAAAGTAGTTTTGTCACTTTACTTCTATAAATGTGAGATCATCCTTACAGGTATGGGTGGGATTGGCAAAACGACTCTCGCTAAAAAAGCTTATGATTATCCCCGAGTTAGGTCTCGCTTCGATGTTCATGCATGGGTTACAGTATCTCGAGAGTATGGAATGAGGAGGTTGCTGTTAAGTCTAGCCCGTTGCATTCCTGGTATGACGGCGGATAAGCTTGTAGAGAAAACTGAGGATCAGTTAGCGGAGTCATTATATAGAAAACTTAAGGATCGAAGATATCTTATTGTCATTGATGATATTTGGAGTACTAAAGTTTGGGACGATGTGACAAGATGTTTTCCAGATGATGACAATGGAAGTCGTATCATATTAACGAGTAGGCTTAAGGATGTGGCTGCTTATGCTAATCCTGATAGCCCTTTGCATGAGATGGGGGTCTTAAGTTTGGATGATAGTTGGAAATTACTCTCCATCAAGGTATTTGGGGTAAATGATCTTTGTCCTTTTGAGTTAGAGGATATCGGGAAGCAAATAGCGGAAAGATGTGGTGGACTTCCTTTGGCAATTCTGGTGGTTGCAGGGCATCTTTCTAAGATTTCTATGAGAAGAGAAAGTTGGATCACTGTTGCCAAGACTGTTAATTCAGTTGTTGCGAATGATCCAGATAAATGCCTGGGAGTGCTCGGTATGAGTTACAATTACCTGTCGAACCACCTCAAGCCATGCTTCCTCTCTATAGGTGCTTTTCCGGAGGATTTTGAAATAAAAGCTCGGACATTAATCCAAGTTTGGGTTGCTGAAGGGTTTCTGAAAGCCGAAAGGGTCGAGAGCTTGGAAAAAGTTGCAGAAGAGTGTTTGGAAGATCTTATTAGTAGAAATCTAATAATGATTAAAAAGAGGAGGTTCAATGGTGAGATCAGAAGTTGTGGCATGCATGATTTGTTGAGGGACTTGAGCTTGAGAGAAGCTCAGAAAGAGAAGTTCCTGCACGTGACATCAGCTCGATATGTTTCAAACTTCCTAGCACAGAGGAACGAGGGTCGTGGCTTCAGCTTTCTTTCCAACATTTCTCTAAATGATTCTAGTGAGTTGTCATCTCATGTAACTCGATCAATGTTTTTCTGGGGTGAACTGTCAATCTCTTCTCCGCCTCATAGGCAAATTTCCTTATTCGCGAGCTTCAAACATATCAGAGTGTTGGCAATTATTTCTCACATGTTTCCTGCATTTCCAGCTGAGATAACACAACTAACTCATCTAAGGTACCTTTGGATTCGATCAAATGGTGGTCTCCCCGCATCAGTGTCTCATCTCTATAATCTGCAAACCTTGGTATTTCAACAGCCGGAACTGTATTATATGCACAAAACTTTGGTTCTGCCTCGGGATATCTGGAACATGACACAGCTAAGGCGTCTGCGTCTACTGAGTGGCAATTATCTGTCTAAGCCTAAAAGAAGTACCACAACAGATGATGTTTTGGGGCTCAGCAATCTGGAGGAACTTTCTCACTTATGTTTTGCGAGCTGTACAGAGGAAGTCTTTTCATGCCTTCCCAGTATACGTAAAGTGAGTATCCTCGATGCTGCATCAGACGATGCATCTGAATACTTACAAAATCTGGTACATTTAGAGAAACTCGAAACATTGAAGTGCGTCTGCTATGGTCAGAAGCGGCTCACCTTGTCAAACTGGTGTGCTTCCTTAACATCTGTTAAGAGGTTAATATTATCCGGTTGTCTTCTGCTTTCTCAAGACATGGCAAGTCTAGCTGCATTGCCCAATCTTGAAGTGCTTAAACTTAGAGATAATGAGTTTGAAGGTTGTGCGTGGACACTAAGTGATGAAGACGAGTTTAGCCAGCTAAAGTTCCTACTGCTTGCTGAGCCACGTCTACTGAACTGGGAAGCCGGTAGTGTTAACTTCCCAAACCTTCAAAAGTTAGTTTTGAGGAAATGCATCTGTCTTGAGGAAATACCAATCGATATTGGAGAGATATGTACATTGGAGATGATTGAACTGATTTGCTGCAGCTCTTCTGCTCAGAATTCAGCAAATGAAATTCGCGAAGAACAGGAGAGCATGGGAAACTCTTGTCTTGACATACGCGTTTATGGTAAGTTTTCCCTCAGCTGAATAGTTTGTCAGCACTAGTTTCAAATTCTGAGCTTTCCTAATATGAAATATTTCTTGAAATCACACATTGAGTAAGCTCGAAATTCTGACTGATCGATGAGTTTCTCTCTTGCAGTTGACGATGATGAACCTTCCTCGTTGTTCGATTTCTGGAGAGCAGTACTAGATTGAACTTGAGTTGAGAAATCTGTATTTGACTTGCTAAGTTTCTTGTTATTGTTACTTTAATTTAACTAGGAATATGATTGTACTAGGTAAAAATGATCTACAATAGGGATGATGGGAGCGGAGTGTGTGATATATAACATAATTTCATTCTGACTTCTTAGTCCATAAATTTGAAAAATATTTTAAATCTACGCTTGCTTAAAATATCACTTTTAAGATATGGTCAATTTTACCTGTGGTGTACAACTATAGTAAAAATTAGAACTCAAGTGTACAAATCGAACTAAAATAGACTATGGTTTGATTTGACTTGGTTTGGTATTGAAAAAAAAAAAGAATCGACTATATTTGTTGGTTTGGTTTTAATTAAAAATTCAATTCGAAATTAAATCAACACGACATTATATATATAATTTTTTAAAGTTTATTTTATACATAAAAGTATTTATTTTGATATAATTTCTAAATATACTTATATGTTTTCATAGTTTTTATCTTTTAACCTATTTTTTGAGTTTTTTTAGATTTAGAATTTTGAATGGTTCAATAAATATTATAGTTCATAGATTTTAGTAATTCTAATAAAGCTCAATTCAAAATTAAATTAATACTATGCTAACAAAATAAATTAATTTAGTTCTTTAGTTTTACATCAATTCATAGACAACAATACTGAATATTTGTTCTTTAATTTCACATATTTAGAAATTTAAAATACATAATTTAATTTTATTTTTTCTTTGACCTTTAATCATATAACTAATACTTATTAGACTTATTTTAGCGTGATTTAGTACTTTTAAATTATCATTATTATTATCATTTTCATTATGACTTTGTAATATTTTTTATTGAATATTTTAGTGTCATAACGCATCTCATATATTGTGTGTTTTCTTAAGAAACATCTTAAATAGTTGTATTTTAGTTGGACTAAAGAAATATTTGGAGTACAAGTTAATTATTTGTTTGTATGCATATTTTACCCAAAAAATCTAAGGTTTATTAGTTTGGTTTGATTTAAAAATTAAAAATTCGACACAATGATTTGGTTCGGTATTTGAAAAATTCGAATCACTCCGAGTTGAAAAATAAAAATAAAAACCCAAGTTGTGTGTATTAGTTTGGTTGGTTATAAATCTAAAAATTTCATATGATATTTTAATTTGATATTTGAAAATCCGAACCAACCCGATCATAAACCTCTATTTATTATAACTAGTGGTGATAAATGGTCGGGTTTTGGTCAAATGTGGGCGGGTAAAAATGGGTAATCATTCAACCCGCCCATATTTGATATGAATAAAAATAGATTGGATAAAATACTATTTTATACCATTTTTTCATGAATAAATAGTACTTTACTTAAGAATTCAATATGGAGAAGATATGTTAACCTTTTTTTTTAGACGATAATGTTTAACATGATTTTCTTATTTTTACACTATTATTGATTATCTAATATAAAATTAAGTAAATAAATAAAATGTACTATAATTAACAAAAGAAAAGTACATTTAAATTATATATTTTTTGACTTCATTTTTTCAATTAGAGAGAAGAATAGTTAGTTCTATAGAATAACATAAAAAGAAAGAGAAGTTGCACTATTTTTAGTGATATCATAGATTTTGAATAAATAAAAGTTAGAAGATTAATTCATATTCTAGCTATATTTTTATTGGATATCAATCCATATATTACTCATGTGAAAAATCATACCCAACTCAGTAAAATATGAACTGTTTAGAGGAATTATCAAAATATAAGCTTATTTTGATTTTAATCATGTGAAAAATTACTCACTCAACTCAATAAATATACAAATTATTTAGACGAATTATCAAAATATAAGTTTATTTTGCCGGTACTAATTACGACCTTTCACTTGCCAAAAAGTCGATAGAATAATCGCATTATTATTTTAGTTCTTTTTACTTTTTGAAGAAATAAAAAAGTGGAGTAGTTAACTACTTTAGTTACGTCACTCTTCAAAAAGAAAAAGGAAAAAAAAAGACCATTTTGGGCAACAAGTTCAATTCCTAGTAAAGATTTGGCCCGTGTTCTCCTGAGAAAGGAAGAAGCTCAATTGCTTGTCGATTAAAAAAAAATCCTTTGTCAAACAAATTTGGACCTCAGAAAAAAAACAACATAAAATCTCCCAAAAAAAATGTGTTTTCAAGAATCTGCAACAGAAGATTCAGCCATCAAGCCCTCTGCTCTCTACCCCATCAATTTCCCATTTTTTCAAACCCCCAACTCATAATGGTTGGAACTATTTCTGGGTCTGGAAGATCATTAGCTGAAACTCACTCTACTCCATGTTTGTGCTTGAATCCTAGTCGTAACTCAGGCAGCACTAATTTTAGGAGTAATAGGGAATTGGGGTTGTGGAGAACCTTTAAGGGGAGAAAGCAGTTGAATTTAAGTAGTAGTTTCTTGGAAGCATGGTGTGAGTGGAGGTTATCTGCAAAGATGGTGTCTTTGGCTTTAAATGGAGGTTCAAGAAAGAGACAGAAGATTAGGAAACTCACTGTTGTTGGTGGGTTGGAAGTGGAAGATGATGATTCAGGGGAAGATGTTAAAAATGTGAGCTTTTCTTGTAAATTATTATTACTGGGAAATAGACCAGAAGTTTCTAATGTGAATAATTGATTGTGTTCTTTATTATATGCTCATACATGATAGTGGGATTCTATAAATGGATTGGCAATAGTGAATTGTATAGTGGATTCTGTTGAGCAGCTTCAGCTTACTAAGGACATGAACTTAGATAGGAGGTTATAATAGTTAAGGTAGTTGAGAGTTTTTTCACTTTTGCTTCCATACCAGTAGTTGTAGCATTACTCAAGGAGTTCTTGGTATTCCATTTTTAATACTATTTGAAGTTTCTTGCACTTTGATTATCGTAATTTTTTGTTGTAGTGACTGTTCCTTTTTAATATGCTCTGTCTTACGTTCTTTAGCATTTTGTACAGGCTTCTTCAGTCCCAATGTTTTTGTTTTTCAAACTGCTTTGTAATGCTTTTACTTGTGCAAAGGTAGGGGTAAGGTCTGCTACGCACTAGCCTTCCCAGACTCCATTTGTGGGATTACATTGGGTATGTTATTATCTGCTCACAGTTATTCTGTGTATCTATGACAAATGGACTATCTTTCATTGGCAAGGGAATATTGAAGTTTGTTGTAGTAGTTTGTAGATAGAACAGCCTTGACTGAATGTTGGACATTTCCTTGTTTGGTTATAAATCCTGGGAAGAATTGTGAACAGAAATTAGTTATAAGTGAACGGGTATGGTCAAACGGGAAACTTTTGGTTGTGTTTTGTTAATTGAAGGTCTTTATAGTTGATTATAGACTGCTCTCGTTGGGCTTTAGCGAAAAAACTTGCAAATTTATACTTTTAATCATCAGTTTGAAAAATGTTTAAAATGATTAGGGGATAAGGTAGCTGTCTATGGTATGGTTAGACGCATGAATCTCAATAATATAAATTCATTGCTTAAATTGTTTTCTGGTCTTTTTTCCAAATGTCTTGTACTACTCCTTTTGTTGCAGAGCCAATCGATTCCTCCACAGATGTAGTTAGCTAAAGTTTGGCTCATTATTACAGTGCTCTTTTCGTTGATTCTGCACTTGAATTTTGTCCATCCATAAAAATGAAATCTGCGGAAACTGTTTTATCCTCGGTTTGCTGGAACTGTAAGACTTCAAAGTGAACCGTGTCCAATCTCTTTTTGTAGTTCCGTTTTTATTTGATCATATTCAGCTCCTTAAGTGATTGGCATTTGCAGGAAATAATCAATGTTATCACTTACAAGGCTGTACGGACTGTTCTTCAACAACTCTATGAGATGAACCCCCCACAGTATACATGGTTTTACAAGTAAGTTTAGACTTCTTTTCTTCTTAAGCGTATCCACTCTCCAGATATGATGATCCTCTGATTTAGCCCAAATATTCAAGTTAACATTTAGGGTGTTGATGTTACAAAAACTGGCACCTTAATCCAATTTAAACAAAATCACGTGAGGAGTGATAGATGCAAAGACCATCACAATTTTGGTGTTATTGTTTCTTGATCATTTAAAGCAAGGGAAAGAGGAAAATAATTCGGCAATTTCAAAGGAGATGGGCTCTAGATTGCATTGGAGGGATGGGATTGTGGTTGTGGTTTAGTGGTAGTGGTTATTGGTTAGAGAAGGCTGGGGAAAGGAAGTAAAAATGAATGGGCGTGATATAAACTGAGAGAGGGCAAGAAGCTGCATTGGAGGGGCAGTGAAAGGCCAGAACGGCAGCTGAGGCAGTTATATGCTTTGTTTGAACAAGGATAACACAGATAATATTAGAGACCAAAATAGGACTTGCTTAGCTTAGAGGCACGTCAAGACGTTTCTTGAAGAAAGTTGGAGTCTCTCCCACGAGAAAATGGAAGAATAAATAACAACTCTATCGTTGGGATTCAAATAAGCCACACAACAAGTAGCACTCAAGAACGTTGCTCTATTCTTGATCTGTGGTTTCACCTTTTGGTCAGTGTCTCTCAAATATTTTCAAGGGAAAGAGTTTTTGAAGTGCTTTTCTTTTACGTGAAAAGAAGAACTATTTATAAGATAAAAGTTCTCTTAAGAAGAGTTTTCATCAAATACTCCCTCTGTTTCACAAAGAATGACCTGGTTTGACTTGGCATGAAGTTTAAGAGTATAAAGAAGACTTTTGTATCTTGTGGTTCTAAATTAAAGTTAGGTTAAATGTACAAAATCGCCCTTTGATCTTGTGGCCTTAAACATGCTATGTGGAAAATTGTAATTAAAATGTTACCAAAAAAAGAAAGAGATCATTCTTTTTGAAACAGACTAAAATGGAAAAGGAGCTCATTCTTTTTTAAACGGAGAAAGCAACGTATATTATACTAATAGATTTGTGAATTTTTGACGATAAATGTATTTTTCAAAAGAACCATAAACCTATAAACTAAATAAAGTGAAACCTATGGATCCAAATTCATTCAATATGAAAAGCAAAACGTTTATCAAATGTATTGTTTCAAAAATAATTGAACATTTGGTCCAACATGCTTCTCTTGTCGTCCTTTGCTTTTTGTATTTTATTTAAAATGCGATGAGCATTTTATCGCCTGAGCTTTTCTATGTTTCCCCTATTAGTGCATTTCATTTTTCATTTGACATTCTTTGATTCTCTTGAAACTGTTACTTTTTCCTTTTCCAAGATTTCTGACAATCTTTGATTTGAATGGAAATACTGAAAATATTGTCCGAGTTTGCATTTCCACTTGAAATGTAATAGTAAATTTCTCTAAACTCGTATTTTAAATCATCCATTCCCTAGGAAATACCTTTTAAATTGGATTATACTACCACTTTTGCGAACTTAGTATGCTCTGATTTGGAGTCACCAAGGGAGTGACTTAGTGGTCGAATAAGTGGAATAATACCTTGGGAAGCTTGGTTCAAATCATCGTAGAGGCAATACTATGTTAATCCGTCTCGGTTATCCAAGCTTTAATGGACAGAGATGATTATCTAATATGTACCTGTGCCAGTGGGATTAGTCAAGACGCACACAAGCTAGCGTAGACACCACCGTTATATGAAAATAAGAACAAAGCTCCAAACTAGAAGCTTAGGGTCTCTAGTGTACTTTCACCTGGTAAAAAGTAGCGAAACTGCTTTGTCAAAGAATCTTGTTTGTTCTATAGCCACTGAGAGGTATGATTCTTTTGATGGTTTTACTCACTGGTTGTTTTCACTAATTTTTTTTATCCTTTTTCCTTTTACAGTTTTATAGTAAACCACGTGCCTAACACTGGGAAAAATTTCCTTCAACAGCTTTTCAAGGTAACATTGTATATTTTGATAAATGTTCTTTCTATCTATATGAAAAAAAGTGAAATATGGGACATGTCTTCCGCATTTTAAGTATGTTTTCAATGAGATAGGGTTGTAATAATCTCCGCTTAGATTTAAGATTAACCCCTCTCATATTAGCCGAGTTTTGCATTTTTGACTGCATTCTTCTGTGTGTCTGATGTTAAAGAGTTTTGCAGGAAAAGCGAGAACTTGCTGAGAGAGTGATGATTACACGTCTTAGCCTTTACAGCATATGGATGCAGGTATGCCACATTGATTTTAGCTACGTATTGCTTGACGTACATGTTTTGCTCCTTCAAAAATATCGTGTTCATGAATTAGTACATATATCTTTGTTGTATTGTATCGCGAACGAGTGGAAATTTGGTATTTCAACTGCAATGATGCAGAGGAAATCTAATGAATATTGTGTGTTGGATGTAGAAATGTGATCATGCTGAATTATACAACAGAATATCTGATGAGAATGTGGAACTGATGCGTGAACGACTAGCTCAAACTGTTATATGGCCATCTGATGATGATCAGATTGCTGGAAGTTTGGATTGATTAATGGGAGAAAGCTAACTCTCTTTGGTCACTATATAAAAAATTGATCATTCAGCAGCCTTTAGCGATATTGGTTCTTAATGACACTTAACTAATGTCAGTAAAGACTTTAATATTCTTTATTAATATCAATATTTAATACCGCTAAAAGTTATTCTTGTCGTAGTCGATATTTTATTTTGTCCTCCATTTTTCCGTTAGTCTTGATAGGCAAAATTGTACAGTGCATCCGATTGACCAATTACATGTTTTTCATCCATATGTGATGTGTCTTCAAAAGTTTTATCTTTTCCGTGCTATGCTAAGTTAACTAAGGGGAAAATAGTGGTTGATAGAAGAAAAAAAAACTTATCCGCATTCGATATCTACATCAAATCAATGCAATTTTTATTATTATGTGATTTAATAAAGTAAAATACATGTTAATTAATTATGATTAAGTAACATAAAGTATAAATTTAAACACATAGTATGCACGTATTGACTTGATGTAAATATCACACAGTGGCGTAGCTACGTAGTAATAAGGATGTTCAATTAAACACTCTTCGTCAAGAAAAAAGTACCATATGTATAAGTAAAAAATGATTAAATAACATATTTCAGATATTCTTAGCATAATAAATTGTTATTTCTAGATAAAATTTCTGACTTGGTCAATGACATTCGAGTTTTTACTCCTCGTTAATTTGGAAGCTTCGAGAGTTGGAGGGGTGTAGTCTTGGGAAACGGGATAAACATGACATAAAATTGTTAATGATACATATCCACTGCAAACAATCGTCTACGTGTCAACAGGATACATCAAATCAAACATATAATATTTTGCAACGTGTCGAGCGGCAGTTGCTCTTCTTATATTCTGCCACGTATTACTTAAACACATTATAAAATTATCATCTAACACAGCATACACAAGGGAAAAAAAGAAAAACGATATTATTAGAAGAAAAAAAATGGCATCAGTTGAAGAACCAATACTCTCTAGAATCGATAGACTTGACAATATAGTGAGTACTTCTCTAATTACTATTTTTTTTTCTATAAATATTTTAGGTATGTTTGTTTTTTTCCCTTTACATCAGTCGTTTTTTACCTTTAGCGTGGTTGCGTTTGTTATTTGATTCAACTAAAAAATTGATTATGAACACAAAATAAATTTTAAGAACTAGCATGTAAAAAGTATCAAGTCTAAGAAAAAAATCTAAGGAATAAATTAACAATAATAGGTTCAATATGTATAAATATTAGTTTCTCAAATAATAATAAGACTGCGAGCGTATATCTTTAATTTATTAGAAAAAATAAGAATTAGCATGTAAAAAGTATCAAGTCGTAGCAAAAATCTAAGGAATAAATTAACAATAATAGGTCCAATAAATATAAATATGAGTTTCTCAAATAATAATAAGATTGTGAGCGTGTATCTTTAATTTTATTAGAAAAATAAGAACTAGGCATGTAAAAAGTATCAGGTCGTAGCAAATGTAAGGAATAAATTAACAATAATAGGTCCAATGTATATAAATATGAGTTCCTCAAATAATAATAAGATTGTGAGCGTGTATCTTTAATTTTATTAGAAAAATAAGAACTCGCATGTAAAAAAGTATCAAGTCGTAGCAAAAATCTAAGGAATAAATTAACAATAAGAGGTCCAATATATATAAATATAAGTTTCTTAAATAATAATAAGACTGAAGGCAAAAAATATTTTGGAGTATCAGAAATGATAGAAAAATTATTTTTTATCCGCTTTAGAATATATCTTTAATTTATTGGGGAAAAAAAGGTCACCTTGGAGGATTAAAAATGATGCGAAAGATTCGCTTTTTGGCTTCAAAATATGTTTTTTCATTCATATATGTAACTCCAAAATACTTTGTTAGATTCATACGTAGCAAATGGTAAATCAATCTACTCTTACAGGTTACTAATTAAATTTCGTCGTATCAAATCAACATAGAGTTCTCATGTTTTGTGTTCAGATTAAAAAACTCGAGGAAGTTCGAGGAGGTGATCATTCACCGAAGACATCCACAGCGTCGAGCGAGACGTTAACGAGCGACGGGCAAGTTTCGTCGCTCGATTTCTCTCCGAGAAGCATGGAGAAGCACTGCCGCCCCATAGACGACGTGATTTCGGAGACGGAGCACAAGGGGACACTCATGGAGAGGCTTGTGAATGTTGAGAAGAGGGTGTTGAATGTGTGTTTGCAATGGGAGGCAGAGTTGGAGATGATCAAGAAGAATAATAATAATAATGATGTTGGTGTTGAAGAGAATTTGAATTTGAATTTGAAGAAGAAAAGACAAGTGAGTAATGTTGTTATAATTGAGGAAAAGAATAAGGCATCATCTCCTCATAAGAAGGGTAGTTTCAAGAGCTTTGTGAAGTCTTGTGTTAAAGGGATACATGAACATTAGTTCGAGATTTTGTGGGATTTGAATGTACGTATGGGTTTTTGTTTTGTAGTTTTTTGCAAGTTTATTTGGTTTGATGTAAGGTCTTTTTAGAACCAAAGAGGATCCATGTTTTTGTAAGTTGATGTCAATTGTATCTTGGATATGATTTATGTTAAACATACATTATACTTGATTTTATACGTGTGAATATGAGATACATTATCAGATTTAGGCAAATCTTAACTGGATCTAGTAATTATTTACATCGTATGATACATATTTATACACAAAAAAATAAATATAAAAGTATAGCTCCCTATATTATGTATGTATAAAGAATAGTTGTATAATTTATTTTGGTATTGTGTTTGTATAAAGCGAGAAAGACAAAAACATATAAGAAAATTGGATAGAGATTTGTGTTTGTATAATTATAAGTATATTGAATAAATATATCTATATATATTGAGAGAGCCACAATATATTAATTCAAACGAAGCAAATCAATATGATGATGTTTACACTTCTTATATGAAAGATTGAAGCATAAATTTCATACACAAATGAGTGTAATAACTGGTATTTATAACATTTAATTTGAATGAAAAGTTTGCTAATTTTTTTTGGAAAAATAACTTAAGTACACAATAATAAGTTTAGTATTCTCTATTTTTCCCTTCTTTTTTAAAATATTATATAATTCCCTTTTTTTTAATTTTAGTAGAAGTTTAGAGATACATAGTCTTCTCTTTCCTATAACACACACTTTCCCAATATCATGCCTATTTTTTCTCCACTAAAACATTCAATCTTTTGAATCACTTTTTGAATTTTGAATTATTAATTTTAATTAAAAACGTTTCACAACATTTAATATGAAATTTTGAATTTCAAAATCCAAAAAATTTGAAATTTGTTCTCTGGTTCTTCTTCTTCTTCTTACTCCATCATCCGTCTATAGTTCTTCTTCTTCTTGTTAATCCATCATTTGTTCTTATTTTCTTCTTGTTCATTGCTATATTACATCAGCCGTCTCTAGGTCTTCTTTTTCTTCTTACTCCATCATCCTTTTTTTTGTTCATTGTTCTATTACATCATATTAATGGATCCTTTTACTAATAGAAGGATTTATGATTCGGATGATGAAAATTGAAAAGAAAATAAAAAAAAAGTCTTTGCATGATCCTATGAATATTCGGAAGGATTCAAACAAAGATTTTGGCGAATCATTTAAATCAAAGGTTGACAAAATACACCAAAAAAAAAGAAGCAGCAACCATTGTTGTTAAAAGTTTTAGTAAAGGAATCCCATATGTATCATGAATTTTTAAAAATTGTTATCATGTATCAGACAATAAGTTTTTACATAAGTACTCAGTGTGTTATAGTGTGTTAGTCGATGCATTGATACATGAATTAGATGTGTATCATATGATATCCTATGTATCAAGAGTTTTTGAAAATTGTTATCATGTAACAGTCAATAAGTTTAATAACTGCGTCATCAAGTGTGCTTGCTGATACATATCGACTCAGTGTGTTATAGTGTTTAGACGATGCATTGATACATGAATTTGATGTGTATCATATGATTTTCTATGTATCACGAGTTTTTAAAAATTGTTATCATGTATCAGTCAATAAGTTTAATAACTGAATGTTCATAAAAATGTCTTCAAACTAGATGATATAATCTTGAATTTTTAAAATTTGAAATTTTTATCCAATTACGTGCTGAGTTAATGCTTATTAATGAACTGTTACCATAATTTAAGCTGATTTAGATAACAAATTTAAATGTTCCATTTTTTTTCTTTTAATCTTTAATAGTTTTAAGTTACCGTGTATCATTTATCATTTATCACAACATACTAATGTATCACGTCACATCAATTTTAAGAGATTATTAGTAAATACTAAATTTGTCGGGACAGAATGTAATTATTGTATTACACTATGGGATTCCTTAAATTTATACTTTTTTTTTCTCCTTTTCACATGCCAAGCCCAGCAAGCTCGCATCCGATCTGCAGGCCCATGGGCTGTGTACTTGGGTTGTTGTTACATGGCAATATCAGTTGATATACATATATGTACTTATTAATATACACTTCTATTTTTTTGTTTAATTTTATAATATGAAATAACGAAGCTAATGATAAGTCCACACATCAAATAAACATTTCCTAATTAACTCGCAGTGCTACTTTTGCCTTGATTTTGTTCATTTGGTATAAAAAGTACAGAAATCCAAGCATGATGTTGAGACTGAAATTGATTGCTCCAATAATTGAATATTTGGTAGACAATCAATTCTATATATAGTGCGTAACATCAAATTTCAATCCATTTAGTTAACCCTTTGGGGAATACCATGCTAAAGTATATATTATGATGTCTTAAGGTTTTCGAACATCTTCAATGTCTCAATGATTCTTTATTTTATATGTATATATATATATATATGTCTTGTCAAAGATGACGTATCAAAGAACAATTTAATATGTGATTTTTTTGGTGTGAATCTAGATTAATAGTTGAGACTCGAAGTAAAAGTAAATACTTAATAGATGGTTTAATAAGCGTGTGATAAATGTACGGTTCGGGAGCCGAGCCCCTGCATAGGGGCTTAGGTCAACACTTATATAATAGCCAGTCATCAATTGGAGGCGGGCAAGATGGTGATGAATTGCGATTGGTCTAAACCTTCGACTAGCGACTTATTGCAGCCTGCCCAGAATGCCCATACAGACTAAGACCTTATTCACACTTTTTGGAGTGAATCTAGATTAATAGTTGAGACTCGAAGTAAAAGTAAATACTTAATAGATGGTGTAATAAGCTTGTGTTAAATGAATTAAACATTAAAATCGGAATTACCACCAACAATATATATTATTTTAATATTTGCAAAAATTTTGGTGATGAACATTTTGCAAGTATTGAATTACATATTATTACCAACTTTTGTTATTAAAATTAAGTTCACAAACTCTTCCGAATTTGTTTCCTATGGGTACGTTTCATATGATGTGAAATGTTTTTCATGAATTTATCTTTGTTTTTTAAATATCTCTTGAGATAATTAATAAGTGAAATTTTTTAAAAATTTATTTATTTTGCGTTTGACAAGCAAGCAGAAATGTTATTTTAAATGCGTGTGTATATAATCTAGACAAATACTATGAGAGGTGATGTCAGAAGATAAGAAGTGAAGTTAAGGTCATGTGGTGGATGATATTGAGAACAATATCGATGAGAAATATTGCTTGTATAACTTTTTTTTTTCTTCATATTTCCATAAGAGAAACAAATATTTTTTCGTTAGCAAAAAAAAATTGATCAATCAAATGTGAAAGAATCGGCAAATACACTTAAATTCTAATTTATTTATTTATAGAAAAATCATCTCAAATATTGTTTTAAACATTTTTTCAACTTCAAAATTAAATACTTTATTTTCCAACCTCCACTAAAAATATTGTACAAATGCATGTCTACTCCATCTTCACTTTAGTTAGATAGGCAAAAACGCAACAAAGAAATATAAATAAAGTAGAACTATTTTTTATGAAGAGAATTCTTGAGATAATTTATACTCCACCCAAAAACATAAACTTTTAATTTGGTCCCCAAGAATTAGATATTGGCATTTAATTTAATTTTCTTTGAATATTCTCATAAAATTCTTTCCCAAAAAAAAAAAGGTGTATAAAGATTGAAAATGACAAACTGTTTTGATTGACTTTAAAGATAGGTACAAAAAAAAATTTCATCTTCTTTTTTTAGCATCACTTTGTGCCACTTTCAAAGAACAACATTATATTCATGTGTGGAATTTAATGTGTGGTGGAGGTTAATTTTTCTTGAAGCAATCTTAGTATCAAAATCACCAAATCTTTTAATTAGACTTTTGTATTAATTGAATTATTATAATATATAGTCTTGTATGATTAAAAAGAGACCATGTTACAAATTTAAGCATGAGAAAATTCATTCTTGAGTCTTTACAAAATTTCTAATCAGTTTTTCTTAAAATTGGGCAGCATAGTTTTCTGATTATAAAAAGTTTTAGAAAAAAATTAAGAAGTAAAAAAAAAAAGTAGTATTTTCTCCAACAAGGTATGGATCATGACAATTTTTAAAAATTAAATGTTTTGCCTGGTGTGTGGGTAGCATTAAATTGTAAGAAAAAGAAGAAGTTGTGGGTGTAGTTGACAATTAAGAATCTCTATAAAATAATTTATTTATTTTTAGTTTCATTTCACATTTAATATTTATATTAGAGTTAGATTAAATAAATTTTTTATTTTTTTTATAAGAAGAAGTGCCATATCGGAGGTAAAATTATTGTTAGTAAGGACAACTTTGTACGTAAAAATAAAAATAATTTAAATTTAAAATATCTAATTAAATTTGAAACATCTAATTAAATATGAAAAAATACTTACTATTCAATCGTAACTGTTATTTATTTATTTTGTAAAAGTCCTTTTGCTGCAAACCATTTGGTATCATATTCTTTGAAGCACTTTTTGGAATTCAAGGACCCATTCTGAGATCAATTTTTTTTTCTATTTTGGTTCAATTTAAAGAAATACATTACAATGAAAATATTATTAACGATAATTAATTTATAATTGTTGCTAAATATATATTTTTAGTGGTAATTGACATTCTTTGTATATGTTTCTAAAGCTTTTAACGATACTGATTTTAATGACACTTAACTAATGTCGATAAAGACTTTAGCACTCTTTATTAATGTCATATTTAATGTCACTAAAAATTATTTTTATCGTAGTGATAATTGTCTCATTTTTAATTTAAAATGAAAACTATATATATTTTAGTTAGAGTTGTCAAAATTAGCTTAGTTCATGGGGATGGTACAAATTCAACTGTTATTGAGGTAGAATTGAAATAAAAATTTTCAAGCTTATTTAAAATTAAGATTTGTAAGCTCGGCTCATATAAGTTCTTGAGGCTTGATCTAGGTCGGGTCGGTCGGGTCATGGGTCAAAACTTTGTATTCTATGGTAACATACAATAATCTCACTAGTATGTAATCTAGTTATTTAAATACAGGCTATGTTGTAATATTATGAATCTTATCAAATTTTGGTACGTTTAGATACATGTATCTCAAAAAATGTGGACTTAAAATTAAGTTAATTTGTTCTAGATATAGTATATCA